CTTTATTTCGTTAAGGTTGAAAATTGACGGACACCCTGTATAATACTAATAAATGTATTTAAAGAGGTTTTTAAAAATTGTTCCCATTAAACATGAAACCTTCAGGCGACGTTACATTCGAAAAGACTACATCGTATTAAAAACGATTATAACGAATATTTATGCAATGTTGCATAGAAGTTTTGTGGTAAAACGTTTTATTTCTAACGTCAACGAAACGTCGCAAGAACATTCCATTTCGGTAATTTAAAATGAATATTTGGAATGTTTCAAATGAAACGTTGCGTGACATTCAAGCAACATCCAGTTTGTAACGTTTTATATTAACCGTTTTGCAACGTTTAGAGAACATTTAATTTGTAACGTGTCATTAGTAACATTTTAAAATGTAAGCTTAGCATTATGTATAAAACGTTTTTAAAACATTCATTATATATAACGTAACATGTACTTTTCATGTAAAACGTTCATTTTGAGACTTTGAGAAACGTTTTAATGACATTATATATCTGATGTTATGAAAATGTTCATTGCACAACGTCGAAGTGTTGCATATACAGGGTGTCCGTCAATTTTCGACCTTGACGAAATAAGGAAGTAGATTGGCTCAAATTAAGAAGAAAGGACCTCTATTGTTTTGTGATTGTCGTAATAATTAACGAAAAATTAAATAAAGAAGATCGGCCAATGCGCATGGCTAGAAGCACACGACGGTGAAGGCGGTCTGACTGTAACATAATGGCGGCGCGCGGCGAAGCGGCGATTGGGGAGGGGAGGAGCTTTCGCCATGCGCTTACACACTCATCGCTCCTCCCAATCTACCTTCTAAGCCAATCTACCTCCTAACTTCGTTAAGGTCAAAAATTCCCTGCCACCCTGTATAACGTTTTATTTGTTACATAACAAACGTTTCAACGATATACAGGGTGGGCCATTTTAAGTGATCCACTCCAATAACTTTTTTATATTTGAATGTACAACAAAATGTTTCAAATAAAAGTTGCTTGACTTCGAGGGGGACAGAAGATGGGTGGCAAAAATTTGACCTTGGATAATCATTTGAGGGTCACATAAAGGTTACCTTCAATTTCTTAAATGGAACCCCCTATTTTTCATTGCATATTCTTGTAGTTTATCTCGAGAGCTTTCCAAAACACTATAATTAAGTACCTTTTTATTAAGTACTTTTTGAGTTATAAGGCTTGAAATAATTCCTTAATGTTACATAAACTGTAATATATCTAGTAAAATATTCATTTTTCGATTATCTTGTTTTAATACTTTTATATACAAAATAATGAGAGGAATAAATTGTCGTGAAGAAAAAATATAGTTGGTTCGAAGAAAAAATATGTAATTGTTAATTGCAAATTACATATTTTTTCTTAAAAATAACTATGTGTTTTCTTTACACCAATTGATTCCTCTCATTATTTTGTACATAAAAGTATCAAGGTAAGATAATCGAAAAATGAATGGTTTACTAGATATTTTATGGTTTATGTAAAATTAAGAAATTATTTCAAGCCTTATAACTCAAAAAGTACTTAATAAAAAGGTACTTAATTATAGTGTTTTGGAAAGCTCTCGAGATAAACTACAAGAATATGCAATGAAAAATAGGAGGTTCCATTTAAGAAATTGAAGGTAACCTTTATGTGACCCTCAAATGATTATCCAAGGTCAAATTTTTGCCACCCATCTTCTGTCCCCCTCGAAGTCAAGCAACTTTTATTTGAAACATTTTGTTGTACATTCAAATATAAAAAAGTTATTGGAGTGGGTCACTTAAAATGGCCCACCCTGTATATGTGCAAACTAGAACGCATATATGCGCGATGCATGACTAAGGCAGCGGTATGAAGGGAAATGTGCTCACGGACACACATTTGCCGGCCTTTGATCTAACGCAATGCTGATATTTTGGATAACGCATTACTGATATTTTGAATTGTTTTAAATTTTTAGAACATGTGCATAATTAATAACGAAATAATTATTTTTATTATTAATAAACAATAAAAAGAATTTAGACAAATAGATTGCCACGTGGCCTATGTCACATTACATTTGTGACGCGCACGCTCCTCAGCGCTCCTTAGTTACGTTTGTTGGCGATTGCTAAGGCGCGAGCGGTAAGGGGGGAACGGTAGGCGTGAGTCAAGAAATCCGGCCGAAAGTTGCAACTAAATCCCAGCACAAGAGAGTTATATGATAATATACGATAACTGTGACGTGTTTACGTATACTCACGGAGGCTCTCGCGAGGGAATAATTCCCTCGATTGTACACTGGTCTAAACAGTTGAAAGCTATCCCCTCCCCGTGTGTCCTTTTCGCTAATGCACGCAGTCCAAACGGTTCTTGCTGTGTGCTAGCCGGCTCGATCTTGCATTAACGCAGTTACATACTCAATAACAGTGAAGTGTTATAAAAAATGGATTTTAATAATGCGAGTGACTTGCAGAATTTACCAAACATATAAGTATTAATTGATATTTGTACAGTCCCATTTACGTAGGGACACAACTTGTCGGCTGACAAAAGTCGGCTAGATTTGTCCCTACGTGAACGGGGTTTAATATAAACATGTGACATACGACCATTCTCGTGCCGCGTGCGGTGTACTCTTATAACATTCTCGTTTATTATAATTTTCTAACCATTATATATTGGATATAAAGTATGTATTAAGTGTGTAAATAGTAAACTTCTATATAACTGTGTAGTATAAATAATGACTAAAATCAAGAAGTATTTTACAAGTAAAAGACATTTGCGGCGAATAGTAAAAAAAAACTTAATACAAATTTTACAAATTAATCGAGAAATAATACAAACGAATAATCATATTAAAAAATTGATACAAAATAAAAATTTTTATAATAATATTTTCACCGATATTGTAACGGGTGATAACGTTGATCATGTACATCATGTTTCTCAGGATAATTTTTTGGCCGATAATTTACTTGAGCCGATACAATATATTGAAAATATTGATGAAGATGTATATAAAGATGAATCATCATTGTTTGAAGAACGATGTGGCACATTTCCTACAATAGTAGATGATTTTATAAATGCGGTTCAACAATGATTCTTGAAATATAGACACTTATTAAGCCAGTGTGCTACAAATAAATTATTGACTATACTAAGAATGCTATTTCTACAATTTCCAAAAGATTCGCGAATGCTTCTGCAAACACCTACTTCATGTCCTTATGAAATTATAAGTATCTATTCTGATTTTTACTGTTATCTGGGAATAGAAAATGGATTACACAGAATACTTAACAGTAGTTTTATTATAGAAAATCTATTTCTGGATTGCACTGAAATAATATTACCTATTTGCATAAATATTGATGGTTTACCAATATCGAGAAGTTCAGGCAGTCAATTTTGACCAATTCTTATTTATATAGATTTGCATACTATCAGTGAAAAATGACGAAAACCGTTTACTTGGGATTTACCATGGCCTTAAAAAATCAGCTGATGCACATCTATTTATGAATTCCTTTATAAACGAGTTTCACAACTTAGAAAAAAATGGTTTTCAGATAAATAACAGAATTATTAAAGTAAAAGTTAGTAAACTTCTCTGCGATGCTCCAGCAAAATCTTTTTTTTTATGCATTAAAGATCACACAGGTTACTCTAATTGCACTAAATGTACTGAAGAAGGAACTTTTATTAATGGAAAAGTTGTATTTTTAGAGAATAATGGACAATTAAGAAATGATATAAGTTTTCAGAATAAATTGGACGAAGAATTTCATAAAGGTGTAAGTCCTTTTGAAAAATTGAATATGGGTTTAGTTTCACAAGTATCATAAGATAGTATGCACCTTGTATATCTGGGGGTTGTAAAACGGATTTTAATATTTTTAATAACAGGGAAAAAAAATATTCGCTTATTTGAAAGTGACAAGAAAAAAGTTAATGAGCTATTATTATTTAGAAACTATTGGCCAACAGACTTTGCACGGTTATCAAGAAGTCTGGAAGACATAGAATATTATAAAGCCACAGAACTACACAGTTTCTATTGTATATCGGACCTGTTTCGGACCATTACAAAACATAGCAAAGAAAAATGTATATATACATTTTATGGCTCTATCGTGCGCCATTAGAATTTTAAGCAGTTCTGAATTATATTTAACATATAATAATTATTCTCTTCTCTTTTTCATAATTACGCTCTACTTGGAATATTTTGTTCACAAATATACAATAATTTATGGAAATGAATATCTCATAATGTGCATGATCTAATATTTAATTTGCCTGCAGATTGTGTTAAGCATGATCCACTAAAAAATTTTAGCTGTTTCGAATTTGAAAACTATTTGTTTGAAATTTTAAAAAATGCATACATCATGACATCCTTTACAGCAAATTTGTAAGACTCAAAGAACAAGAACAAATACAAAAAGTAAAAGATGTGACAAAATATCCAGTATTACGGAAACAATATAGAGTCCAAGTTCATAATGAAAAAAATTATACTTATTTTAAAGTGATTGATTTTGAAAAGTATGGATTAAAGACATCGGATACAGATAATTGTGTCATATTGAAAGACAAATCTATTTTTAGCATTGAAGACATTTGTCAAAAAAATGATACATCAGAAATTTTTTTAAAAGGAAAAAAGTTCACCGAATCCAAATTATTTTTCAATTCATCGTGTTCTTCTCAATTATTCCATATTCAACATGTGCAAAACTTGGCTAATAATGCCTATACAAGTAATATTGATGAAATACGCATGAAATGCAAGTGTAATCAAATATTCGCACAATAATGTTTTTATTATCTTACCAATAATACATAGCCAATGTGTAAATGAAAATTAAAACTTACATAATTAAAATAATATATAATAGATAAAAATATATAAAGTATTTTTAAAGAGGCTTTTAAACAAATTTTTTACTGTAGTATGTTATTAAAATATTAATACGATTTAATTAAAAACTTAATTTCTTGCATTGTTTCCAGATATGGTCTGTTGAAGAATTAGAAGAGTTATGAGAAATTAAAGTTGTATCAACCACTCATGGCTAGAACGAAAGGAAGAAGATTTTATGTAATGGCCGCATAAGAATCCTAGGAAATGTATTCGGAAAAATGTACAACCGGACAGCAGCTGGAAAGTGTATAAAGTACATCTTCTTACTACAAGTGGTAAGAATTTGAAAGAAAGACGATATTTGATAAAATCATCTATAAATTACACAAGTAAATACCCAGTTTATTTAGTACTTGTAAGAACCTGTATAACATGTCGAAGATCTGTCTTTAATACAAATTGAACCAAAGCCATCATAAGATGCTTTAAAGCAGAGCATGAATAATGATTTCAGTCCTAAATGCATTAAAAATATTTCTTTTTTTTTTACTGTAACTTTCTCCAATTGCAGACTCCTATCTAGAAGGCATTAAATTACGCGAAAAGAAAATCAAATTCAGATATGGAAACATCATGTTCCCAGTTAGGGAAAGGTAAACGTAGAAGAAAGCATAAGAGCCAAGATGTCAGTGACAATTCCGATAGCGACCCACAGAGAATGACATCGCCTCCTTCGATAACAATTTCTCACGATATACGGACAGGTAAGATGTATTAATTATTGAAAATAAATTCAAATAAATACCACTAATATGACCCTCATTTTCCAAAAAATATACAATATTTAACACACGTGCGCTTACATTACTATTTTTTAGATCCATACGCGCTTATATTACTATTTTTTAGATCCATACGATGAATTACTTCATGATAAAACAGCATCAATTTTGCTTTCACAAGAACTCAATGGTTATTATTATTTATTATTTTTTAACTATGAACAATATATTTTTTTTCATATTTATCTAGTTTTTGCACATGTAAATTTGTCAATACACAAAAATGAGAAACGGAACTATAATAATATAAATACCGAAAAAGATATTGTTATCATTGAAGGAGGAGGTAATTTCAATGACAATAATGGCACTTCAACCAATGTGGATGAAGTCGACAAAGAAGGTATTTTTTAAAAATTAAAGTACACAACGAAAATGATAGGTAAATTTTATTTTAGTCCAAGAAAATAATATTGCTGCTATAATGACAACTAGAGATGAGAATTTTACAATTCCGGGTTACATTATTATTGAAGATTTACAAACAGGTATTATTAATTTTAATATCTAAAAAATTGTTGGGATGTTTATACCTTATTAAATAAGCTAAGTGTAAAAATGTGAAACTTACATAAAAAATACATTTTACTTTTTTCATGTAACTTTTACAAAATATTTATTTAACAAATACTTACTATTTACTTACTATATACTTACTATATACTTACTAAATACTTACTACTATATAATACTATTCTTTTCAGATAACCACGTAATATTAAAAATATTACACAATGTTTTGGCAACTAGAAAAATGGACGAAACATAAACTATTTTTATGTTTTGTATAGGAAATGTTCTTCTATTTATTAGGAGGGAATACTGCCCAAGTTCTAAGTAAAAATGGATTGGGGAAACTATTTACCAATAAGCTGGCTCTTGGTTTGGGCGCAAGGGAAATTATCAATTAAACTCATTACATACAATGGAAATTTTAAAAAGTATGAAAGAAGTCAAGATTTTCTTACTTTTATTTTTAACTCAATCCAACTGCGCCGTTGGGAGCGCAAACGGAAGGCATTTCATTTGTTTGCTATCGTTTTTCTTATCAGCTAAAAAAATTAAAAGAATAAGCTTATATTTTTGATAAATTTCTTTTTTTTTAATTATGAAAATATATATAACTTTTTATTATCATGTTTATAGGTGCAATAAAAAAACATTTTCCAAATTACATGAATAAAAATTTTCAAGATCATGTATCCACATGGTTTAAATACGCAAAAACTAGATATCTGAGAGAAGCAGATATATTTTTCATTAATAATATATATATATATATATATATATATATATATGTGTGTGTGTGTGTGTGTGTGTGTGTGTGTGTATTGTATATTAATGATATTGTTTTCAAAATATATTTTCCATAACACTATTGAATCTATCTGTTACAGGCCGAGATGCAGAAGGAGAATACCAAAATTTATGACTAAATATATAGATATGTAGATACGTGATAATATTTTTAAATTTATTCGTATTTTTTAAATAACTTTTATGCAATTAAATTTAAAAAATTAAATATTATAAAACTTTAAGATATATAAAATGTAATTCATAAATATTAATATATAAGAAACAATATAAATAAATATATTATATGTATGTCAATATATTGCAGTATAATGTGTAATACCTTATACAATTGAAAATTAAAATGTTGCTGCCAAACCCAAATAACTTTATTTTTTCCATTATTTGAATTAAGGAATAAAAATGATATGACATTTTTTGTGATATTTATTCTCCTGTAGTAAATAATTAACAAAAATTTCGCGCAGCGAATCGCCGTAGCGAAAGGGTTAAAACATTTTGCAACATGGAAGCAATAATCATATATGCACGGTGTATATGGAACGCCGCTTGACAGACAAACTCGCTTTGCGTGTGTGTGTGTGTGTGTATGTGAGCATATGTACGTGAATCTGAACCTGAAAAAAGAGGAAAGAAACGAAAAATGTGACAACAATTCTGATATTCGATCGTCACTTGGATTCAGGATTGACTGTACCGATTTTATTCATTGGTCGCAATCAAAAGGTTGTATTGCTATTATATGATAAAAATACCATTATACTTTTGATTACAGCTTTTAGTTTCTGAAATATCTTAACTGAAAGTTTACTTGATGTGAAATTCCGGATAAGGTACTTGGTAGCGCCGCGTCGAGAACAGTGACTCTCAATGTTCAGATACTGTTTTTTTAGATACTTGACGTCGCAACGTCAAAAAAACAGTATTTGATATTATTAATTTATTAGAAAAAATAGGGGTTATAGAAAACTTCGAGGTGATTAATAGAGGATTTATAGGAAATTGTTATGACACTCTTTTCTTCTCTCTCTCTCTCTCTCTCTCTCTCTCTCTCTCTCTCTCTCTCTCTCTCTCTCTCTCTCTCTCTCTCTCTCTCTCTCTCTCTCTCTCTCTCTCTCTCCCCCCCCCTCTTCCTTTCTCCCCTCTTTCTCTTTCTCTCTCTGAATGTTGTTGAATAAATCAGAATTATTTGCAACTTTTGAGTTCTAAGTTCTAATTTTCATGATAACATCCACTACTTCTCCTTGTCGCTCGCATGTTAACAATCATATCACCGGACATGTATGTAACTAATGTAAGATGCACGATGTTCATAGGAACGTATATATCACAAATACTATACAAGATATTCTTCTAAATATCATATATGCAATAAGATTATACTTTTAAAAAAACATATTAATTTTTCTTTCGAATTTAAAAAAAAATATTTTATATTTTATTAATAATTAAGATCATTTTCTGTATTAACTGTCAATTGATTATACCATTCGATGACTGCAATCATGAAAAGAAAGACAAAGATCAAAAGCTTTAAAATGTTACAAGAACCTTTTAATTGTCACAACATATATAAATTAATTAATTAATGATATGAAAAAGATAGTTTTAATTAATACTAACATATAAAACATTTTCTTAAAAATTTTAATGAAAGACGAAGAAATGCAATATCTGGGGGAATATGATTCTATTGCACATCTAATATAGACGCTCTTGAGACTGAATATTGCGCGCCTTAGTTACGCACGTCCGGCGACTTGTTGCTAACATGCGAATCAAGGGAGACAGTGGGCGTCAATCACGAAAATCGAGTCGAAAGTTGCACTAATTCTCATCTCTGATATAAATAATACAAATATATATAAGATATCTCCAATTTAAATGTCAAAACATTGAAAGTGGGGAACTGATAAATTAACAATAAGAAATAAAGTCATTTAAAGATTTGTTCATTTTGCTTCATTTTAGAGAAAATCATAAAAAAATAAAAAACTTTTCGATTTTTCACTTATTTATAACTTATTTATTTACATTTAATTTGATCTTTCGCAGCAATGCAACCTATGTATCACTCACAGTTTATATTACAGCTGTACATTGTAGTAATAATATTCAATGCATTGCAGGCACAAATCAGTCTCTCAACTGCTCTTTTCGAGTCGATAGACATCGAATAAACTTCATATTTCAGAACTTTCTATACGAAGAAATCAGTAAGTGTAGATTGGGTGATTGGGGACTAATTTCTTCTTAATTCCATGCTCTACAATTTTTATTTCTTATGGTACTTTTCGATAAACCTAATATTTTAATATTGTTTTATGTTTCTATTGAAAATTTATCTTTTTTGCGATTTTCTACAAAACGAAGTAAAAATGATCATATCTTTACAAAACTTTTTTTTCTTAGTATATCGATCTTCTATACACTCTCAAAGTTTCGACATTTAAATTAGAGACACCCTGCATATGCATATATGTATGTGTGTGTATCTTCAACGTCCGTCCATTTTGTAAAATATTTTTTGTAACTCAAATTTGTATTTTTGCTTTCTAAAAGAAATGTTCAACCTTTAATTTGAGTTTCGTTTCATCTTAATACGATGATTTTTCGCTGATTTATTGTTATTGAAAGATGTTAAAAATTGTGCTAAAATTTAGTGGCCCGTATTTTTTGTGTGTGAATGTAGATATGTGGATAACATGTGTATATCTAATGGATATCTTTAGTAGTTACTTACAATTAGTGATGTAGATGATATACGTATATATATCTACTACTTATCTATAGAGGATATGGATTTCATATAGACATTTATATATCTATTAGATAAATTTTTCCGTGTGGAATATTATGGTGATTAATTAGTATTAACAGATTATAAATAATATACAGAAAATGTTTAATTCATTTTTAAATAAAACTTTTCTTTAAATAATTGTTCAATTATTACATTTAAACAAAATTATGAAATCTAATGTTTTAACATTATTTGAAAAATGAAACACAATTCTTTTTAATCAAAGAAATTTTTGTAGAGAAATTTTTGAGAGAGAAGATTTTTGTAAAGAAATTAATTTACTATCTATTATCATTATAAAATAAAATTTAAAAAATGAAATCAGCTGTAAAAATCAATATCACCTGAAATGAAAAGTATCAATCACCTGAATCACCTGACATGAAAAGTATCAATAACAGATGACAGATCGGTACACGTATAAATGTAGTTACGAATCTGAGTATGCAAATTTTACACGGTATTATTTTTTGATATTATATTATAACTTTAACTCCTTAGAACTCAAAAACTATTATAGCTCAATATTTGTGTATTAGAATTTTCGGCAATTCGTGCGAGTATAAGCGCGCGGTGATGAGATTCGGCTCATTGTAACTTGATTCTGGGACGACGAACAATGAGTGAAGCCGCTTCATGTTTCAGAGGATTCTTCCACACTCACCACTCATATATATATACAGGATGTCTGCTAAACATGCGGCAAAAATTCAGGGGGTGATTTATTGGGTTATTTTAAGACTTTTCTGTTATCTGATGATTTTCGAAAAAATGCTTTGTTTCGAAAATAAAAGCAATAAAAGTTTTTTGACCAATTTTTTATTCCATAGATAACAGGCGATACAGGTTTTTTAACAAAATTATTGAAAATTGCAAGAAAAAAAAAAATTGGTCAAAAAATTTTTATTGCTTTTATTTTCGAAACAAAGCATTTTTTCGAAAATCATCAGATAACAAAAAAGTCTTAAAATAACCCAATAAATCACCACCTGAATTTTTGCCGCATGTTTAGCAGACACCCTGTATATATCAAGCATATTTCAAGCCTCATAACTCGAAAAATACTCAATGAAGAAATATTTTATTATAGTATTTTGGAAAGCTCTCGACATAAGCTATAAGAATAGGTAATAAAAAATGGGGGGTTCCATTTTAAAAAATGATGATGACCTTGAAATTTCTGAAGCACCTATACCTACAAAAAAATTATTAGTAGTATATTACGGTACCGTACAACTTTTACGTACAAAATTTTTGTATCTCTAAAAATAACGGAGATATTCCAAGTAGACCGAGAGAATTATTGGCCCACCCTGTATATATATATATATACATATACATATATATATATATATATATATATATATATATATATATAAAGTTGAAAGGAATATGACATAAGAACCAATGTGCGGTACTTGGAGCGCAGAGAAGCGATAACACTTCTTTCTTTTTTCAATATTAGTTTATTAAAAAACTCATATTACAACAACAAAAAGAATTGTTCTTTTTAATTTTTTGATTATTTGAGCCAAATCTCTAATTATTATATATATATATATATATATATATATATATATATATATTTGTTTATTTTTCCGGAAATTATTTATGTTTAAAATTCTTAAAATAATACAATTTTAAATACATCTTCACATACATCAATCTTGCACATTTTTATCTTTTAATTAAAATTTTTCTTTAGAGAATAAAGTTTTTTATTTATTTTTAACAATTAAAATATTAAAATATTTAAATTTATTTAATTTTTAAAATTTTTTTAAAATTAAATTTATAAAGATTTATATAAGATTTATTATAATTTTACAATTTAAAATTTGTTAGTATATTATTTTAAATATAGATATTTTTCTTAAAAAGTAATCTATACACAAAAATTATTAATTTAATAATTCTTCAGATTTTTTATCAAAAATTTCTCATCAAAAATGCATTAAGAATACATGTATTAATAAAAAAATTCCTCTGATAATTCAAGTCCAAATATAAAAAATACTCAGCAATTTAAAGGACAAAATGTAAGTATATATATTTCAAGATTAAATAATTACGATATAAATATTCACATAACAATAAATAATCAAACATCTCTATTAATTCGTAAATATAAAAATGACAATTCAAAAAACTTTAAAACAAATATTGAAAAACTTACAATTCAGAACGTTGAAAGTATAAAACCACAACGTTTAATGCTATTACTTAAAAATTTTAGTAATTAAAATGTATAATATTTATAAAAATAATTAATTATCTCATTAAAGAATTAAATTATTCATGATTTAAAAACGTATCTAACTGTATTATGTATT